TACCACAGAGAAAAGTAGAAAAAGAAGTTAAGTATTCCCTTTCTCCCTGACATATATCTAGTTCCCTGCTTCCCTATGAGAAGAACTGCTTTTGAAATTGTTTTTTTTTAATCTTTTTGGAAATTAAGAAAATTGAGATACTTAATGGATAAAACAAAACAAATTCTTCACATTAGTAAAAATATGGGTTTCACAGCTAAATATGTTTTGTTCATAATGAAATAGAGGCAGTTTTGCACCCATGTCGGTACGTGTCATACCTATTACACAGTTTCTATGAATACAATTTGATAAAATTTAGATATCATTCTTTTTTACATTTGAAATCTGAAAACATATAGGGTTTCCATTTGTTGATCAGTTTTCAGAAATCCACTTTCGGGAAAGTGAACTACAAGCAGTACATGGTTTAGATTCTGGAAAAAGGATGAAGGCTGAGATGAAGAAAGAAGCTCAAGCACTCATCCCTCACCTAATCCAATTAAAGATCTGTGTAGTCACACTGTGTGATAAGTAATTGGCTGAAATATAAAGCAATAGAATATCTAATCTTTCACATACTTCAGAGTAGACAGAAATGCATGAGTGTTCTATGTGATAAAATTTGATTTTAAGATGCTTATAAAAACTTCTGCATAATTTGGTTTCTAACATCCTGTCTAATTTTGTGGTTTTCTATGTGGCAACAATGTGTACTCTTGAAATAAACAAACTCATAGTAAAAGCCTGAAATGTTATTTGAATTGTATCAGAGTTGGAAGAAAAAAATTAACAGGGAATGGTAAAGAATGAAAAGGAAAGTACCTAGTATTAGGTAGGTACTTGAAACTTCCAGATACCAATAGATACAAAGAGCTTTAAGACACAAGGGCAAATAGTTGAATTGCTGGTGAGAAAAAAAATTTTTATCCAACTAATTTCGACTTAGACTTGTACACAGTGGAATGCAAACTGGTGGTAAAACCATAAGAAGGCGCTCAGGCAAAGCTCAGGGAAGAGAAAAGCTGAGTCCACTGAGCCATTAGTGACAGACTGTCTTAACAATAATTTTCCATCATGTCCCCAGGCTCTCTTCAGGACAAGAATATGCCAGTTTGTGTAAGTTATATGGAAACAAAATGGTAAAAAGTTTTCATTGATGCTAAGTGCAGCATAAATATGAAATTGATGATCTCTAGGAAATTTACTTCAGCTCTGCTGTCGCTCTTTCAGATAGAGTTCTTTACATAATAAAAAACAGATTTCTTAAATGACTTTAGGGTGTTAAAGAACAAAAATTAACCAAGTAGATATGAAGATCTAATGGGCTTTATCAAGCAATTCATGAATTTGGCAGCATCCCATCTAGAAAATAGAGGAGAGCTCCAAGAAATTGTACAAAATGGAAGGTTTTCATAGGAAGGACGGTGGAACAAGAAAGTTGGTAGCAAATGAAAAGAAAGGATTGTTTCAGGTAAGGTCATCCTTCCTTAGGTTTAAGGGCAGGAGGTCTTATTAGGTGAACTGTCTGCCACTGGGGAATGTGGAGGGCCCCGGTGACAGATCACCTCACTGGTGCTTATCAGGAAGTTCCCGACTAACCGGTTAAGATTTACATTTCTGGGGGGAGGTTGAAATTGCAATTAGTTAGGTACTAAGCCCCAGTTTAGTGACTTGGCCTAAGTGATGCCATTTTGGGCCTGTGGCTTTCTTTTTAACAAGGGGAAAAGGGATTGATACAAGGATATATGTTTCTGAGTACTTAGAAGAACTTGAACTAGACCTAGAAAGGACTTTGCTGTAGAGCTCAGGCATCCTCTCTCACCTCTCCTGCTCCCAGTCTTGCTCTTCTTACTTTCATTCTTTCCCTGACTCCTGGAGGCCTCACGTTCTCTTTCGATTATTCTTTTCACCATTCTCTCTCACCTGGCTTTCTGCACATAATCATCTTGCACACACCACTACAGCTGCCAGACCTTTCTCTTTCTCAGCTTTTTAGTTAAGAGTTTGGCACTTCCTGTATACTTTTTCTATAGCTCTTAGTTCAAGTTCCAAAAAAGAAGCCTGACTGTAGATTAGCCAAAAAATTAATCAGTGTTCATTCCAATGCAAAAACAGGCAACTCTCCTCAACAATCAGACTAAGAAGGGAACACTGAATGTGCTTGAGTGGCAGGGTATGAGGTAATAAGGGATAACAATTATACAGCAACGTTTCATTGTTAAAACTGAAATTTCAAGACACAGCAAATCTTTATTTTGGTATGAAATACAGAATATGTGTGAGAAAGGAACACAAAAGAATATTTAAACATCCGTACTTTGAAGTCAGACCACATGATTTGAATCAGAGCTCTACAAACCATACTCACCCTCCCAAACCTGTGAAATGGCCATTGAAAGGGAGTGGAATTTGTCATCCCCAAAATAAGCTTCTTTGGCATAAGGATTATTGAGGCTGTTTTTTTCAGTTTGTTTGTTTCGTTTTTTGGGTTTTTTGTTTTGTTTTGTTTTGTTTTTTGCCATGTTAGAAAGATAGAACATATTTTCTTTAATATTTCATTGGCCTGATTTATAACTATTTATTTATTTATTTAATTTTATTTAATTTTATTTAATTGACATACAGCTGATAATTTTACCCCAGTTTCAGGTACAACACAGTGATTGATCATTATGCTCACCACTGAGTGCTACCTACCATTTATCACCATACAAGACCATTATAACACCATTATATTCCCTATGCTGCACTTTTTATCCCCCTGACTTATTCATTCCATAACTGAAAGTCTGTATCTCCCACTTAGGGTGATTCTTTTTTTTAAAAAATGACAGACACAGGAAAAGCTTTGAAAGTGGAGAAGTTATCCTTTCTTAAGGGACATGTACTTTATGTCTATCCAGGTTTCTACCTCTCTGTAGCAGAAAGAGGAGGATAACTAAATCTCTAGAAATTTTTTTTTTTAATCAATGGAGAAGGCAAGGACTTAAATTTGCATAGCAACCTAATCCTTGTTTACTGTCTTTTCCCAATAGCTTCCCATAACTGGCTCACCCACCCCCCAACATTACCTTTTGTCTTTAGAGATGTTTAAGGTGGTGGCTTGGGCCACTTCAGTTTATTCAGTTTTTCAGTTTTATTCAGTTTTCCTAGGTATCCCCCAGATATACAGAAGGTATACATGTGATTAAACTTCTGTTTGTTTTTTTCCTGTTAATCTTTTTATTACAGAGTTGTCTCAGCCAAGAACCTAGAAGGGTAGAGGGAAAATTATTTTTTTTTCTCCTATACCATTGTCAGGAAGGAAGAATTTTATTGGTCCTTCAAGGTCCTTCTAGCCGGAATAAAAATTAAATTGACATGAGACAGATTAATGGGAGAAAATCAAATTAGTTTTGTACATATGGGTGATCCACAGGCATGGAAATTCCAAAGACAGTCAGGCAAAATGAGGTATATGTGTCATTCTGAACTAGGAGAAGGGAGTAGGAGTCTGGGACTTCAAAAGAAAGGAATGCAATTTACTGGAAGATAAAAAAGAGCAAATGTTTGGTAAACAAATGTTTGCAGGATTATCAGAAACAATGAGACCTAGTAGACTTTGATTCAACAGATCTTGCTAGGGTCTTCTCTACCATGCCTATTCATGTCGTAATGTAGTTATTTCTAGCAATAGCTCTATTCCTGGAGCAGGTCTTCTATCTAAATTCTTTTAGGCGATTGTTTTGGAGGTAAATAGCCTTTTCTGAATCTGCTGGGTTTTGATTGCTTTTAACTAAAAAGTAATCTTCATGCCAAAGTAGGCCATCTTGGGGTGGCCTGCCCTGGGCACACACATCATAGACGACCTTCTTCATAAGCTAATTGTGAGGATTAGATGAGGTAATTTATGTACTAGACACCTAATAGTTATTCGATAAATATTAAAAACACAGAAGAAAAGTTACCCCTTACCCACAGATCGAAGAAATGAAGCAAAAAAAGTTGAAGGCACAAAGACAATCTGAAATGGAAAAAACAAGAAACTGATGGATTTTCTGATCAAATGACTTAAGCCTTCATGGCACAGTAGATTATGACATGCTGGGAAAGCTCTAGTGATCTTAGTCTGATCTAACCATAATTTCATTATGAAAATACTAAAGGTTAACCTAAATGACAGCAGCCTACAGCAGAGCAAACGGACATATTTAAGTATTTACAAATCAGGTGAAATGTTAATATCATCATCATCAAACAATAAGTAGTAACAAATACAGTAATTAACATTTTTTGAAGATTTGCTATGTGTGGCAGCCTGTCTCAAGCACTTTACATACATTATATGTATACATATATTTATATGTATTAATCCATTTACTACTTAACTTATATCAAACTTAGGAATTTTGATTATCATTATTTTAGGGAAAAAGAAACAGAGGCACAGAGTGTTTAAATAATTGACCAAAGTTGCAAAACTAGCAACTAGCTGAGATGCAGGGTTCACAGCCTGACATGCTGCAACAGAAAATGCAGTACATTGCCTCTCTAATCATAGGAAACTTCAGTACCCCCCAGATTTTTTTCATAAGTATACCGATAATGTGGATAAATAATTTGAAGGAAAAAAAGTTTATTTTATTAAGTAACAGTGTAAAAATACTATATATATTGCTTTAGAAATATATAACTCTGGGGGGAAAAGTGTTTCGTTTTTTTAACTGATTACAAAAGGAATCCTAGAAAGTAAAAGAAAGAGTTCTTCAAGGGGAGTAATTGTGAATTCTTAGTGTAAGCTGTTTCCTTTGTTTAGTCCATAAAAGAAAAGCCTTTCAAAGAGTTTGGCAAAATTAGCCTAAATACTGTTGGAGTGACCTAAACAGGAAGCCAGTGATCTCTGAAAGCAGCTGTGAGGCTCCCCCTTTGCTCCAATAGACAGGAGCGACTTTGGGCTGTATAATCGTCAAATTCTTACCTCGCCCTTTCACTGCTGGCAGGATCAGATTACATTTCTTTCACTATTCTCCACTCCCCAGTTCCTTGATCTGTTGAAAAGAAGTAGAAAAGATAAATCCTCTCTTCAACGCCTGGAAGGGAAAACAAAATAACTTCAACTCGGCTTTGAAAAAAATCTTTCCAAGAACTTTCTTCAGAGATTTTACTCGTGAGTATTTGGCAATATACTTTCTAGTCCATGAGAAATAACCTTTATTTCTCTTTTCTTGGGAGAAAAGCAGGGTCCTGAGAGGCAAAGCCTGGTAGGGGAGTACCATCGTCATTTAACCTACAATGAAAATTGACCCTTCTCTGTAAACAAAGTAAACTCATATTGCAATGCAAAATTAAGTTCTCAGCACTTTGTCTTCTTAAGCAAATATATATGCAGTATATCTTTATGCTTTTAAATCCTTGAACATTTTTGTCAGAAGTTGGTGAGATGTAGCCTTTCTTACAATTTTCAGCTTGTAGTGGCAATTCTTATTGTATCTGTTTAATTGGAATTTTCTGAAGATTTGGTTTACTTTTAAATATTATTTATTAACACACAAAGAAATATGATCAGGAGACTCTCTAGCATGTTTAAAGAAAGTTTTTTCATTGCTTTTAATTGTTGATAGTTAGAATGAAGTATAAACATTAGAAGTCTTGTAATCTAAATTAAATATTTTATACCTACAGTAACTAATCTGTCTAAGGAAATGCTTTACAAGTCTTTGAAGACCAGAGCTCATATCCTAAGATACTTAAATAAGAATATGTAAGAATAAGAATTGCACTACAGATAGTGCAATTATGTTAATTAAAGCAATAGATCACATACCTACATGATGTACTGTCATGTTCATGTTGGTTGTGAAACGACATTAAAATTTGCTTCTGGTAGTAAATAAAAGCACATAATATAGAAGTACACAACCACAGAACTATAATGAGACAAAGTTATTTTAATTATGGAGAAAGCTCATTTGTGTATTACCAAAAAATGAAGGCCAAGAGCAGTGCCATGTAGGAAAAAAAGAAAAGATAAGCAACAGCCACACTGAGTCACAGTGCTCTGGAAATTAGTCACAAAATGACTTTGTAAATTGTGTGATAAACACAAAGGGCAGAACCCAAGCAGGAAACATACAGCCCAGAGAGTCATATTTTATGTGTAAAAGCATAATATTTACGTCAGAAGGGAAACGTGTCAATTTTGAGATATTGCAAAGTTTTTAAACCTAACAAAATCCTTTCCTAAACATTTTTAGATTTTTTTTGTAATTCATCAAATCTACTGATAATTATTTCAAGACATATTATTTGTATCTCATCTAATCTTTAAACTAAAAAGTGAATAATGTCTTTGAAAATGTGTTGGAGTATGCAGTTTAATTCGGAGACTATGGGTTAATAAAAATGATATAAATTATTCATAGGGATCAACAGAGATTAAAAATATTAATGTACATACAGATAATTAACATTATAGACATAAAACCAAAACTTTAAAATACTTTTAACAATTTGCATAGTTATACTGGGAAACCAAATTTGCCTTTAGGTGACTGACCATAGAATCTTGTTGGAGAACTTTAATGACATACCCATTACTATTTGGTTCCTCTTTCTATAGGTGTGCTGAATGGCACAAGTTTTTTTTTTTTTAAAGGTATAGTCTGATATATTTAAGAATTTGTTTTATCTCCAATGACTAGATCAAAATCCCTCTGGGAAATGTGGCTCCTGTCCAAATGAATTATGCCCTCAGTTAGTGCTTGCTGGTCTGATTGACTGTCTGTAACTCTAGGGCTTCACTGGCATGTTGGTCATACAACTATTTTGGCTAGAAGCTTCTATTATAAACATTTTTGCAAATTAAAAGATAAAATAATCTATGTGGTGGAAAATTGTTTTTGTATTAAATTATAGTTTTCATAACATTAATTTACTCTTTTCTTCAGAATTAATTTCCTGATCTTTGTTATCTGTATTATTCAAATTCAAAAGATAATTGGACAAGATGACTAACTACTGGAAGAAAAGACCAAGTTCCAAAGGTTTTACTTATTCCCAGAATACATAGCAACTAACCAAATAGTAAATGTGCTATATTTATATAGTCTTCAGAAATGGTTGGTTTAAATTCAGTGTCACAAACTTTTAAGACAGATTTCACCTCATATCACTACCTAATTAGCAGAAAAAAAATGCAAAGTGAAAAAGTAAAGGGCAGGAAAGACAATATGAAAAGGGAAGAGAAGTACTTAGAACAGAGTTTTCAAAGTATACATTGGATAAGTTGAATGATAATATTGGTTAAAATAAATTAATTGTATTACCAATTTATTTTTGCTATGTAGACATGATCGAGGAACTGTACTATTATCTAATTCACCTATTTCAATAAAGGCTGTCTCCAGCCCCCTCCTTTTCTGTTTTCCATCTAAAATATTTAACTTGGGAAATTAGTTTACAAAAATATTCTTAAATGTACTTACTTTTTATAGAAATATACCAATACTATAATTCCTTCTGATTGTTTTGTGCTTTGGAGAAATCTGAATTCAAGAAATCGAGTAACTAATGAAGTCCTTGATTCTGAATATTAAATCTTAACAAAATGAAGAAAAGGTACAAATTATTCCAGAAAGTTCATTCATGCTAGACCATCTCTATTGGGTCGCTGAGATCCTCAATGCCTGGTTTCTTGGTGTGATATATCATTTCCAGGAGCCCAGTCTTCCCATTACTCTTCTTTCCTTGTTTTTACTTCCTTCTCCAAGTGGCAAGTATCATGTAGAACCAGAGCTTAGGATTCAACTACCAAGGGGTACCTGGGTGGCTCAGTCTGTTAAGTGGCTGCCTTCAGCTCAGGTCATGATCTCAGGATCCTGGGATTGAGCCCCACATTGGGCTCTCCACTCAGTCAACAGTTAGTCTGCTTCTCCCTCTCCCTCTGTTATCTCTCTTGCTTTCTCTCTCTCAAATAAATAGATAAAATATTTGGAGAGAAAAAAAAAAAAGATTCAACTACCAAAAGGTTGAGAGTGACCTAGTATTTTCCACAATTTTTCTTTCCAGAACTAATAACAAAAAGCACTGGACCCATATCAAATCTGCTCTATTCATCTCTCTTCAGGCCTTCCTTTGGGATTCTGTGTTCTCTCTCGGTTGGAATGAACACATTTTAAATTTATTTTAAAAACAAAAGAGTAAAAGGACACCATGGTCCATAGCAGAAGTCTCAGTGATGCAATATTTCTATCCCAGTTGTTCTGTCTGGTGGGCCAGTTTCCTGAGGTGACATGGACTTATTGCAAGGAATTCGCAAATCAAAATGTAATGGTAGCATACTCTCTAGACTGAATAAATATTTTATGTTGTTGATTAGGCTATTTCAACATCAGAAATGTGAAAGTATCAATCAATATGGCACTAATAAAATGCAGTGTTTTTATTACCAAGCATAATGTGCCACGGATACACTTCAACTCGTATCACACCCTTAGCACCACCACCACTCTGCTGTCAGTCTGTTTATCTCTCTTGTTCATGATTCTTATCAATGTCTAACCTATCCCTGAAACCCAAAATAACCCATCTCTAAGCATCACCTCATTCCTCATTCCACAAGGCTTAGAAATGGAGTAAATCTTGATAATAGGTTGAGTCTTCAGAATAATAGTGTTTGTTGTAAAATTTTGATATTTTTAAAGTTCGTTTAGGAAAATTGAAAGTATCTTAGAAAATGAATCAAAATAATTATATCCAAATATAAGCCTACTCTTGCTTTGGAGAAATCTGAATTTGTGCCAACTATTTTCAAATATACATGAAAACAAAATGAATAAATTTCTGATTCATGCTATATGAATGAACCCTGAAAACATAATGCTAAGTGAAATAAGCCAGACACAGAAGAACATACAGTGTATAATTCCATGTGTGTATCCGGAATAGACAAGTTCGCAGAGCCAGAGAGTATATATTAGAGGTTACCAGCATCTAGAAGAAGGAATGAATGGTGAGTTATTGCTTAATGCATACAGAATTTCTGTTTGGGGTGATGAGAAATTTCAGAAATAGGTAGTGGTGATGATTGTACAGCATTGTGAATGGAATTAATGCCACAGAGTTGTACACTTAAAAATGGTTAAAATAGCATATTTCATAGTGTATCTACTACAATAGAAAATAGTAAAAGAAAACTATTAATAAGAATTCAGTTTGAAGAATTCTAGATTCCTAATAATACTCTCTTTACGTTTTCTCAATTAAGAAAATAAAAGTACAAATATTATAATGTTGGATACCTGAATTTTTAAAATCAAAATAGATTCTTTCTGTTTTATTTCCTGATGAAAATAGGAACATATTTTTACCTAATATGGCTGTACTGAAGGCTAATGTTTTTTAGTCGTATTGTCTTTTTCAGTTTTAGTACCAGGGTAATTTGGGCCTCACAGATTGAGTTGGCAAGTATTCCCTCCCTTTGTTAAATTTTCTGGAGTAGTTAATGTAAAATTCATATTATTTCTTCTTTAAATGTTTGGTGGAATTCACCAGTGAAACCATCTGGGACTGAAGTTTTCTTTGTAGAAAGGTTTGTAATTATAAAATTCAATTTAAAAAAAATAATTATAGGGCTATTCAGGTTATCTATTTCTTCTTGAGTGAGCTTTGGTAGTTTATGTCTTAAGAAATTGGTTCTTTTATCTGTTTTCAAATTTATAGGCATAAAGTTGTTTATAATATTTACTTATACTAGAATCTACAATGATGTGAAACCTCTATTTCTTGACATGAGTAATTTGTACCTTATCTATTCTTTTAGCAGTCTATATCAAGGTCTTTGAACTTTTAACTTGTGTGTTTGTATATAAAATGAGCTTTTAGGTAACAGATAGCTTGATCTTGATGTTTTATTCAATCAGGCAATATTTGCCTTTATTATTATTATTTTTTAAGATTTTCTTTATTTGAGAGAGTGTGCATGTGCTCCAGCAGGGGAAGGGGGAGAGGGAGAGAGAAAGAGAAAGAGAGAGAGGCGGACTTCCCTAAGTGTAGAGTCCAAGACAGGGCTTGATTCCATGACCCTGAGATCACAACCCCAGCCGAAATCAAGAATGGGATGCTTAACTGACTGAGCCACCCAGGCAACCCAGACAATATTTGCCTTTA